AAAGAATGTAGGAACAAGGTTGAAAAATGTGCTCAATGCACACAGCATGCAGAAAATGAGTGTATAACTGAAGCAACAGTTCCAGGCATTACTCCAATTACTCCTGATCGGGTCAGCAGAGGTCTGACAGGGCTGAGCCCTACCAGGTTACGTTGGTCAACCTATAGCGCAGTCTTTCTCAACCAGGATGCCCAGGCACCCTGGGGTGCCGTGAGGTTTCTTCAGGGGTGCCTTGGCAAAATGTCTAAAAATTGCCCGAAACCCATATACAAGCTGGCAGGTGGAACAAGCCTGCCTTTTAGTTACACAAAGGCACAGGTTTTCATTGCGCACCATATACAACCTTCTAGCCACCGGTGTCCTGACAACCAATGACATCATCAGTTGATAAGGAGGATGTCAGCTGCCTACACAGCATCCTAGTTTGACCCTCCCTTGTCCGTCTCCATCAGTATTGGTGTCACATTAGCTCAGTGATGGAGAAAAACTGAGGGAGAAGAGAAACACTGGAAACAGTACCAGTGTGCAAACGTGTATGTGATTTGGAAGAATAAATCACCTCCAATGTTGGGTGTCCTAACATGTGTGGATGTTGCTGTGTTATATACAACTTTTAGAATAGTTTTTCACATTTCAGAATGGGGTGCTCTTAAAATTATGGACAGTCTAGAGGCACCCCATTTTAGAATGGGGTGCCTCAAGACTGTCCATAATTTTAAAGAGTGCCTCAAGACTGTCCATAATTTTAAAGGGTGCTTCGGGACTGTCCATTATTTTAAAGGGTGCCTCGGGACTGTCCGTAATTTTAAAGGGTGCCTTGACTGAAAAACGATTGAGAAACACTGCTATAGCAGACAACATAGCCTGCTCTTTGGATATGAGAGCATGCTCTGGCGGGAAGGCACTGTGGTCCCAGTGACTCCAGAGGTGGTGAACAGGCTGAATCTGGACAGCAAGTGTGTCATTTAACTCACCACAACAACAGTATGAAGACCAAGTACTCTGACAAATTTGGCTGCTTGAACTTCTCCGAGGAGCCATGGAAGGTGTTTAGTAGAGATTGGGGGGCCCAGTCTGGTAAGCTGAACAGCTTTGGTTCCAGTTGAGAAGGTTTGTGGTATGGTGCACTTGTTTAAACTTGCTTTGCTCTCTAAAGAGTGATCCACGTTCAGATCACTCTTCAGAGAGTATTTGACAGGCAGAGAGGAAATGGACTGTGTGCATTGTGTGTGGTTGCAGGGCAGCTTCAGCACAGCCCCATTACCTTGAATAGGTCGAGTTCAGTGGGTGATAGTGCCCATGCAGCATGACAGGGGGTATAATTGCTTCATGTACAAGAATTGAGTGTTACTTGTGAGCCACTAATTAAAATCAATACAGGTGCGCTGACATCAAACACATCCTCTATTCATGTGTATATAAGTACCAAAAAAATTATTAATATATGTAATCACAACCCCCTGATGAAGCCGCGTGACCTGCGGTGTAACGTGTAGGGGAGGGGCTACGACGTCACAGACCAGCGAGTATACACAGAGTACGCTGTTATTGGCTATTGATTTTGACAAAGTGATTTTAAATTATATTGAATGTGAGTGCATTTGGGCACATAATAAAGTAATGTAACCTTAAAAGGATAAGGCACTATTTTTGCATTTTTCTCCCACTGAGGAACACCTAAGGAGGAAAACAAGAGAGTAGCTGCAGGAGAGAAAGATCCCTGCGGGGATAGGAGTACGGGAAGCCAACTTCATATGATGCAACACAGGTTTCAAAAGTTCAATAAGTGAACAAAAAGCACAGTAAGCCTATCATAGGCTAATAAGGAGGTGAGCACACAACTTAATCACACTAAGGAATCACCGGAAATGTATATTTTATTTGAATCACATCACTGGGAGTTGTCACCTTATTTCAACAGAGACTTCTTTGCATTATTCAATATTTATTTTTATAGTAGTCACTATACATTTATTTGATCACATTGTTTTTTGTTTTTGGATTTGATCATTAAGATGTTTTTTTGGGGATTATTATTTAGATTATGTTTTAGAGATTTATTGAGTTGATTTATATATATTTTCACTCAGATTGGGAGCGCGACATATATTAATCATTTTTTTGATAATGGTTGCATGTGTACATCGCTGGCCGCTAACTTCCCAGCTAAAGAGGGGCAGTTAAGGGGGCGGTAAAAACATGGCTCAACTGCTGCATTTTACAGCATTGTAAACAAGCCCATAGAAGCTCCCTTAGATCTAGAATTAGAATTTGCAGCATTGAGAGAGACTGTCTGAAAGGACGTTCTTTTCATCACTCAGATGGCAGTAATTTGGAGAAATGTGGTTGACAGGCAGAACTCCCAGGATGATAATGTAGATAGCTGGGCGCAGTAGCTAGAGTGGGTGATGGATCTCAGAAAAGATAAACGTGTTAAACTAAGTACAGAAATTACTGGACATGACTGGGCATAACACAACTGACATAACATAGATATGTTTAGGGAATTTAAAACTGTTGCAAGTAAATATGTGTTGCACTAATGCAGCAAATTAATTTGAATGGACTGCTAAAAGACCACAATGAAGCTAAAATTGGACATGAAACTATTTTTCTTGATGCCAACATGGCTCACACATCTGGCAATAGCCCCTCCTATTTCAATGGCTATGGAACTGAAATTGAAGGGAAATCTCTCCAGCTGAACGCAGTTGACAAAACTACTATGGTATATTAACCTGATCTTCACGTAAATGGAAAAATATGTTTTTTACCTTTTGTTATACCTTAAACACTTTGCTAACAGCACTAGCTACATGTTTGTTGCCTAAATATTGATATTTGCACTGTTTTGCACTGAATTCATGTCAGTTTATTTACTTTTTTGAAGTGTCAGTGGAAATGTTCGCTCTGTCAGTAAACTTCATGTGTTGAGCCAGAAAAAATGGCCACTAACCAGCTAAACACAATGGGGGAGGGATATTACATCTTGATTGATGGAGGCTTCACATCCCTGGTATTCTAAGACACAGGCTCAAGGGGCATGACACACCCTGTGACTGGCAGAAATCTTCCAACACAATGTTATTGCCAAAAAGTAATCAAGCTTTGATTTCATATATATATATATGAGAAATCAAAGCTTGATTACTTTTTGTGTGTGTGTATATAATATATATATATATACATACAGTATATACATACATATACAGTTGTGTTCAAAATAATAGCAGTGTGTTGAAAAAAGTGAATAAAGCTCAAAATCCTTCTAATAGCTTTTATTTCCATACACACAAATGCATTGGGAACACTACACATTCTATTCCAAATCAAAACATGAAGAAAAATATATCAAATTTGTGTTGTTCCTCTAAAAAAAATTGAATATTAGACTGTTCAAAAAAATAGCAGTGTTTGTATTCTTCTTTACAAACTCAAACATTCACTATATAAACTGAAAAATGTTTGAAGATTTTGCTTTCCTTTGAATCACTTAATTAATATTTAGTTGTATAAGCACTGTTTCTGAGAACTGCTGTACATCTGTGTTGCATGGAGCCAACCAACTTCTGGCACCTGTGAACAGGTATTCCAGCCCAGGATGATTGGACTACATTCCACAGTTCTTCTCTATTTCTTGGTTTTGCCTCAGAAACTGCATTTTTGATGTCACCCCACAAGTTTTCTATTGGATTAAGATCCGGGGATTGGGCTGGCCACTCCTTAATGTCAATCTTGTTGGTCTGGAACCAAGATGTTGCACGTTTACTGGTGTGTTTGGGGTCGTTGTCTTGTTGGAACACCCATTTCAAGGGCATTTCCTCTTCAGCATAAGGCCGCATGACCTCTTCAAGTATTCTGATGTATTCAAACTGATCCATGATCCCTGGTATGCGATAAATAGGCCCAACACCGTAGTATGAGAAACATCCCCATATCATGATGCTTGCGCAACCATGCTTCACTGTCTTCACAGTGTACTGTGGCATGAAATCAGTGTTTGGGAGTCATCTGACAAACTGTCTCCGGCCACTAGACCCAAAAAGAACAATCTTACTTTCATCAGTCCACAAAATGTTGCGCCATTTCTCTTTAAGCCAGTCAATGTGCTCTTTGGCAAATTGTAACCTCTTCAGCACGTCTTTTTTTCAACAGTGGGACTTTGCGGGGGCTTCTTGCAGATAGCTTGGCTTCACATAGGCGTCTTCTAATTGTACCAGTACTCACAGGGAACTTTAGACCTTCTTTGATCTTCCTGGAGCTGATTGTTGGCTGAGTCCTTGCCATTTTGGCTATTCTTCTATCCATTCAAATGGTAGTTTTTCGCTTTCTTCCACGTCTTTCAGGTTTTGGTTGCCATTTTAAAGCATTTGCGATCATTTTAGCTGAGCAGCCTATCATTTTATGCACTTCTTTATATGTTTTCCCCTCTCCAATCAACTTTTTAATCAAGGTACGCTGTTCTTCTGAACAATGTCAGGAACGACCCATTTTCCTCAGAATTTCAGAGAGAAATGCACTGTAACCAGCATGTACAACATTTGCTGCCTTCCTTCCTTAAATAAGGGCAATAATTGCCACCTGTTTTTCAAAGAATGAATTACCTCACTAATAGAACTCTCATCACTGCTATTATTTTGAACATGCCCCTTTCAATTAGTGATTCAATTACACAGAATCAGCAGCATGCATGTCATGACTGTTGGGTCTGTTGGATTTCTATTACTCTACTACACCTGCTAGTAAATTATTTGCCATGTAGAAATATCGCTTCTACCAAAAACAGTGATTGATCAGGTTAGTGAAGTCTGATTGCTATTGACACATGACAGGTCCCAGAAGCCGCAGGACCAATCACAAAGCGCAGCGCTTCTCGCTCATGCACACTGGGCACCCGGCTGTCAAGCCGAGCACCCACACTACAGAAGCCGGGAAGACAGCGCGCCGCTGGATAGAGGAACAGGTAAGGTCTCGCTGCAGAGTGGACATTAACCAAAGAACATCTCCGTGGAAGTAAGTCAAATTCAGGTACCCGCTCCCCTCCCTCCCCAAAGATCAGCAGTCATCTCCTGTACTGTCCACAGTCTCTGGTCATCCCTGTACTGTCCGCAGTCTCTGGTCATCTCCTGTACTATGTCCGCAGTCTCTGGTCATCTCCTGTACTATGTCTGTAGACTCTGGTCATCTCCTGTACTATGTCTGCAGTCTCTGGTCATCTCCTGTACTATGTCCGCAGTCTCTGGTCATCTCCTGTACTATGTCCGCAGTCTCTGGTCATCTCCTGTACTATGTCTGTAGACTCTGGTCATCTCCTGTACTATGTCTGCAGTCTCTGGTCATCTCCTGTACTATGTCCGCAGTCTCTGGTCATCTCCTGTACTATGTCCGCAGTCTCTGGTCATCTCCTGTACTATGTATGCAGTCCATTGGTTCAGAATATTTTTTTTCCTGTTTTCTGCCTCTAAAACCTAGGTGCATCTCATGGAGCAAAAATACGGTATTTCATGTTTACTTGATGGCCAAAACAAAAATGTTAAATTGTATTTTTTTAGTTCTGGTCATAATAAAAAGGTAAAAAACCTCTATACAATATATGGGTAGCACTGTGGCTTAGTGGTTAGCACTTCTGCCTTGCAGCACTAGCCTCATCGATTTGTATCCCAACTGAGACACTGCCTGCATGGAGTTTGCATATTTTCCATGTAGGTTACCTCCAGGTACTCCAGTTTCCTCCCACACTTTAAAGACATGCTGGTAGAGTAATTGGTTCTTGTCTAAAATGACCCTAGTATGTGTATGTTTGTGAAACAGGGACCTTAGATTGTAAGCTCTTTGAGACCAGGGACTGATATGAATGTATAACATATGTAAAGAGCTGTGTAAATGATTGCCACTACATACATACCTGTAATTAATATGCATAAAGCCTCTAGGCAGTCATTCTAAGAGTCAATTTAAATAACTGTTCTGTAAATTAAAAGGGCCATTAAAATTACATCCTCTGGAAAAGAGCGTCTTGTCATCCAAAAAAAAATGTTACAGTCTTGGCCTAATGCTAGAGATAGAACAGAGGATTTACATATTCTTAACAAGCAGTAAAAAACAAGAACATCTAAAACAAGCCTTCACTGACCTCTGTATCTGTAGACACCCTGGGAAAAATTATCCTCATAGTTCTGCAAATAATATTTTTATTATATTTCTTGCCAGCAGTAAGTGGCTGCCTGCCAGCCTTCTAATCTCCAATATAAACACAAAGCAGGCAAAAAGTAAGAGAGAAAGAGTATTTTACTGGACCTTTACCTCCCAACAGTCCTAGATTCTATGGGAATGTGTTGAGATTTTAAAGTGTTACTAAACCCACAATAGTAAAATCAGTTTGTATATGCAGTAAAGCATGCATGTTATGCTCAATGTGGAACCTAAGGGGTTAATCCTCTGCATTGTGTAAAAAGGCTGCTCGATTCTCCCTTCTCTGATCCTCCCCTTCTTCTACTGTCCTCAATCCAACTGATGATAGTAAAGAACTCTAGGACTCACTCTGCACATGCTCAGTTTAGTGGATATTGCTAGAGAGTTTTTGTTTGGGGGGGAGGGTGCATCTGATCAGCACAGGGCCAATCAGCTCTGTCCAGACAGGGGGTCAGAGGTTATGAAGCCTCATAGGATGGTCAGAGGAGAATGAAAACTCCTACTACAATCTTTAACCAGTTTTCAGCTGGACACTAATACAAGTCACAAGACTGCTATATACTGCTGATGGGAAAAGGTATTTAGCAGTTTATATTTACTACAATTATTGCAATTCCATGTAGTGTGTACTGTGGGAGACCAGATATAGTGAATGCAGGGTCCTGGGTTTAGTAACACTTTAAAAGAATCCTAGTGTAGCAATAGGGGAGCCACTGGAAATAATTGGGTTCTCCTACCTGTCCTGTGCCTACCTGCCTTGTATCTGGATCCAACCAACAAACCTCTGACAATCAGGCTCCAGTCACTAGGGTCTCTTTACGATGTATTGCAGTACTCAAATTAGAGAGAGGGGCTAGGGGCTAGGGGTGCAAGATACCAAGAGAACAAAAAAGGATGGCAGAGATACTGTATCAGCAATAGGTCTTATGAGAGCAACCTCCAAAAGTAGATGCTGGTGGACAGTGGACAGCCAGACAAATACTATATGTGACCCTTTAACAGCAGTTACAGTATATCCTGGATTCTGAGTCTGACTTCTGTACCCCTGTAAGCAAATCTACCAAAGTCTCTGGTCACCTCTTCTGAGGTCCAGAAAGCATTTTCTAACCATCTCCTCTGTGACCCTATTCAGTAAGACTTTCTCTACGCCCTACAACTGACTGTTTTAGAGGCTGCAAGGAAGCAGCTGATTTTTTACACTGTTTTTGGTCCTGTGCTATAGTTCATACATTCTGGTCAGCAGTCAATACATTCCTATTCACTGTACTGGGTTTACCTAATATATTACATCCTAAAATTTGCCTGTTAGGTATATTTATTTATCTGCTTTGATTTATCTGCTCCTGCATGGGTCAAGCATTTATTACATGTAACCCATTGAAATGGTATTACTTGCAATACATTAAAATGGAAATTAGATGGCTGCGGTCTGCCATTCACAGTCACTCACATGGACAGAACAGCCCTCTGGAACTTGTATGGTGAAATATCAAAAGCTCGGGAGATTGGCCAGAAGAGTGAGGGGAGAGACTGAAGAGGAAGGGGTGCGCTGACAGCTGAACTATGCCATAGAGCCAGGGTTTTAGAGGGAGGAAGAGCGGAAAGAGCCTACAGACCACCCAGTCTGCCACGCTGGCTAGCAGGCCAATCTGATAGCAGGAGACCAGACAGGACACTACGATCTGCCGGACTACTCTGATCAGGTGAGAGAGACCCATGCACCCAAAAAACAAGTGAAGCCACCTCAGCTATCTACCTGCACATAGTTGTGAACATTACATGCAGTTACCTATGCAGCCTAGTTCTTGCAGCCACCATTGTTGAGATTTATTATTATTTATTTTAGGTACTTATATAGCTCCATCAATTTACACAGCACTTTACATATATCTTGTACATTCACATCAATCCCTAACCCTCAAGGGGCTTACAGTCTAAGGTTCCTAACTCACATTCATACACATACTAGGGCCAATTTAGACAGGAACCAATTAACCTACCACCATGTCTTTGGAGTGTGGGAGGAAACCGGAGTACCCAGAGGAAACCCACGCAGGCACATGGAGAACATGCAAACTCCAGGCAGGTGGTGCCGTGGTTGGGATTTGAACCAATGACCTTAGTACTGTCAGGTGATAGGGCTAACCATTTAGCCACTGTGCATCTGCATTACAGTTTATTGTACAAGCTGATCGGAGGACATACAGTTGCAGGCCAGGATACAGCAGTGCCAACTAAAACCACAAGTTTCCCTTCAGCAAAGAAGGATTCCCATTACTGTTTATTTTTTGCCTTTGATGTTCAGAGGGAGCTGTCTTTGCCTGCAGACATTTATGCCAATTGTTGCTATTCATTACTTCAAGCCTGCCCTATGATTAGTGCTTTAAAGGGAACCCCACCCTAATTCGCTACCATCAAGAGGAAAATTGTCAAATCTCCCTTGTTCCTTCACTATCTTTGTGTTACCATCCCAAGGGACTATATTCTACACCTCAACTTAACTCTATACCAACTGGGCCCCAACAAGCATGCAGAAGACATTATAGTGTTCTTAAAGGGACAGTGCTAAATTTTAAATGAGAATTCTCTTTCCTTCACATCTAATACTTGTCATTTAGTTCTAAGGATGCACAGCGAGCTTACTTGTTTCTTGATAGTTGCTCCTGCTCACTGGGGATTCAATGGTCCCCTCAGATTGGAGGCAGTGGATTATTTCTGAAAGCAGGCCTGCTAACAGTTACTGTTGCTTTACTGTGAATGTCCTTATTTTTGCTCACAATACTAAGAGTGTTTATATTTGCTGCATATATCAGTGTAATTTTGTTCTTTTTGACTAAGTTACCACTCATTCTAAAATATACTTCATATTTGTCTATACTAACTTGTGTGTAAGTCCATTTTACAGTTTGAAATATTGAACTCTTTGGCCTGAATGCCAAGCATCACGCCTGGAGGAAACCAGGCACTGCTCACCACCTGGCCAATAGCATCCCTACAGTGAAGCATGGTTGTGGCAGCTTCATGCTGTGGAGATGTTTTTCAGAGGCAGGAACTGGGGAACTATTCAGGATCAAGGGAAGATGAATGCAGCCATGTACAAAGATATCCTTTATGAAAACCTGTTCCAGAGTGCTCTGGACCTTAGATTGGGGCAACGATTCATCTTTCAACAGGTCAACGACCCTAAGCATACAGCCCACATAACGAAGGAGTGGCTATGGGCCAACTCTGTGAATGTCCTGGAGTGGCCTAGCCAGAGCCCAGACTTTTTTCTAAATTTAAATATTTATACATTTTTCAGATAAACAAGTTATACAAACATACTCATTATAACCTTAGCATATTATCAAAACTTTTATCGTTTCATCCCCCCCCCCCTTCCCCCCCCAACCTATATACCACCCATCCCCCCCCATCCAGTCCCTAACCCCTTCTGCTCTGCATTTTCCTGTTTATTTCTGGAGATCATAATCCCTATAAAAGAAGAACAAAATATCTTTCCATATTATTCTATATTAACCTCCCTGGCGGTATGATTATTTCAGATTTTTGGTGCTGAAAGCGGTGAACGGTACCATTTTTTTGCATGGAAATATGTATTTTTTTTATTGTAGGCCTGTAAATTAGGAATAACTCAATGAAATCTGTCCGAACAAGAGTCTAGTAAACATTCCGGATATGATAAAACTTGAAACACAAAATCATAAATTATAATTTAATAAATAATCATAAAAAATAATAATATAATAATAATAAATTTAATTAAATAATATAATCAAACCAAAAACACTGAAATTTGAAATATAGCGCCAAGTTTGCTCATCACTGAGCAAAGTCGCAGAATCGTTTTCAGTTTCCGATGACGAATTTCCCCACAAATCATTATCACTCTGCAAGTGGTTCTAATTTACTATTGCTGTTCTCTAGCTGGTCTAAAACTGCTTTTGACCTAAAGGGATGCTTTTTGGACGCCATGAACATTTCTCAGTTTCTAGGCAGAAAGAACAGTCAAAATGCATGCAGGGCACAGGACAAAGCAGTAGGGACAAAATGTATGTGAAATGGTTTGAAACAGCAATGTTTTACTATGTAATAATCATTTTTAAAAAAATGAAATTTTTTAAAAATTTCAAATTTGCCGCCGTTTCCGGTGCCCGTACGTCCCAACATCACAGGGACCAGGAACACGGAAGCCAGATGCCGGCATCGGCCGGAGGAGATGGCCGGGGATGCTGCAGGGACACATCACGGGAGCGAAGGACAAGGTAAGCGCTGCAGGGACTCCCTATGCAACGCTGCATGGTAAGCCCGAGTGTAGCTCGGGGTTACCGCTTTTGGTATTGAAACTCTACCCCGAGCTACACTTGGGAATACCGCTAGGGAGGTTAATTCACCATAACCTCTAAGGCTAGCCTTGACTTTTTGAATTCCTCCCATTTGTTTCATCTTGTATGGTGACTCTCTATCTTATCTTCATTCAAATGATAAAGTTCCTCCAATTTACATATTTGGTCCACCCTATCCAGCCAGTCTTTTATTTTCGGCACCTCCTGTCTCCTCCAATACTTGGGTATCAGTCCCTTTGCTGCATTCAAATAGTACAATAAACCGGATTCTTTGTATTTTTTAACTGAAAGCTTAGTACTATGAAATAGGCAAATCTCTGGGTCTACTAGAATATCAACCTCTGTAATTTTCGGAATCAAGCTTACTATTTTCCCCCAATACTCTTGTATTTTAGAACACTCCCACCATATGTAGTACATTATGCCTCTACCTCCACATCCACGCCAACATAAAGGTGAATTATCTCCACTCAATCTGTGTGCCACGCTCGGTGTGATATACCATCTTTCCAAACACTTATAATTCATTTCTACCTCCTGCATATTTATATTTCCGTGGATTATTCTATACATTTTCCTCTGTTTTTCCGCATCTATTCCGCCACTCATCCATTCTCGTAAAAACTTCTTTTTTTCCCAGTTCCTTAAGTGATCTTCCCCTTTCCTACCCTTTTATCCCTTAATTGTGCATCTTCCCTCTTAATCCACTTCCCTGTGATACCTTCTTTACCCAGGGGGGAAAAACTCTGTGGACTTTAAGGGCATTAACCACTTCCAGACCGGACATTTTTACTCCCTTCCTGACCAGGGCCATTTTCAGCTTTCAGCGCTATCACACTTTGAATGCAATTGTGCGGTCATGCAACACTGTACCCAAATGAATTTTTTTCCATTTTTTTGAGAAAGATAAAGCTTTATTTTGGTGGTATTTATTCACCGCTGGGATTTTTATTTTTTTGCTATGTAAATTAAAATGTCCAAAAATTTTGAAAAAAAAGTGTTTTTTTTATAAAATTTTTGCAAATAAATAATATTTCATCATAAATCTTTGCCAACATTTATTCCATTATCTTTTTAGTAAAAAAAAAAAAAATCCAAATTAGTTTATAACCAAACATTTAAATTTTTAAACATTTTGTTTTACATTTTTATTTTATTTTTTTATATTATTATTTTTTTTTTTTTACATACTGTCCCCTAGCAGTAGTGTCACCATGGTGACACTGTACTACTTGTAGGGGTGATGAAGATTTTTTTTTTTTTTTTTTTTTACACATTGCTTTTACACCCATATAGGATGTAAAAGCAATCATTTCTTTTTCTCTCTGTGTGCATTCTTGCACTCATTGAGAAGTACTGAGTGAGCTGTGATTGGTCACAGCTTGTCACATGGTACAAGGCTGTTGTGAATAGCCTTGTACCTTGTGACCTCTGTGATCATTCACAGATTTCACATGTAGTAAGCAATGATGTCACAAGTGACATCTTGCTTACTACTTTGCATGTGATCACTGATTGGCCAATCAATGATCACATGATCGGGACCTCGTACAGAGGTCCCGTCCGACGATCGGTGTTTCACTGTGTCCGGAGGCTATAGTGCTCTTTAATGCTAAGTGTATTTCCTCCTGCGTTCTTGCTGATTCTAGGGATTTTAATTGCACCGCACTTAATTTTGGTAATCCTGCCTTTTTTAAATATGTCTGTCTTTTTTCTATTTTTCCTACTTCATCTTTACTTATGGAGCTGTGGGGGATAATATTATATAGC